GTGGTTTAAGAATCCATGAGTTAAATGTTTCTGACATGTTATTGTCTACAGAATCACACTTTGAATGACTTTGAAAAAATGCTCTAGACCAAAACTTACCATCTTTTTCCATTAATTGAGCATAACCTTCATTTGAAATTGCCCTTAGTTTCACCATATTCTCTCTCCAGATTTCTGGAAATGTCGATTTTGCACAGTTCCAAAATGCAATTTTGAACTCATCAGTCCTATGAACATTACTTCTCTTAGCCAAATTGCAATAAATATGACGAGCACAATACCTATGCTCTGAATCAGGCAATACAGCATCTCGAGCATGTTTAATTCCCTAAAAAAAGAAAGAAATATGATTAACACTTTATCAAGTTTTCAAAAGAAGAAAAACAGTTTGCTTTAAGTGTAGGCTCAAAACTTACCACATGTTCATCAGATATTAAGGTAAAGTTTTTACCACTGTCTAAATTCAAATCTGTCCTTAATAACCAGAAAAACCACTCCCATGAATCCATGTTTTCTCCCTGAACAATGGCCCAAGCCATAGGGTACATTTGATTGTTTCCATCCCGACCAACAGCAGATAACAGCACACCTTTGCAGACTCCTTTCAAAAAATAGCCATCCACCCCTAACACATATCTACATCCATTTTTCCAGCCTTCTTTCACAACCCCTAAACAAACATAAATTCTTTTGAAGACACATTCACCATTTTCATTCCTATCCTTAACAATTTCAATTGTGTTACTAGGATTTAGACTTGACAAGTAAGCCCCATAACTAGGTAGCATGGCATACTCATCTTTAAAATTGCCTCGTAGCTCTTTCATGATCATTCTTTTTGCCCTCACACACTTGTCAAAATGAACAGCCACCCTTAACTCTGCATATGTTTGTTCCATCATAAACTTGCATGCTATGAAAGGAGTTTCCCGAATCCTTCTTTTCCAATACTTTGCAAGTTCATGCATTGTCATGGCAGAAATTTTACTTGTCCGGAAACAGCCATGCTCTCTTTTGTAAGTCTTCACCCGAATGCAATTAGCTTTATTGTCCATTGATGCAAAAATTTCCCAGTCACAACCTGCACCTGTACAGCGATATCTCAATCTGCGAGGCTCATTTTTTATAGGCTTCAGCTTACACCTTTTCACAATTGAATACTTTCTAATGGCATCCCTAAACTGGTTTGCATTTGTAAATCTCATTCCTACTTCAAACCAAGGAACTTCCCACTCT